CTCATTTGATGTTTAATTGTTAAATTAAACATACTACTTAATTACCAAAATTATTTTGGACGTAAACGGAACGCCGAAAATAAATTTCGGTAATCCCGACTGAACTTAATTTAATTCCGAAAATACTAAACGATAACGTTACTATATCGGAATTAAACGTAATTTATACTGATAATATCTCGGGATATTACAAAATACATCGCTTTTATTAATAGAAAACTGGATTATTACAGATGTCAACTGCAATGGGACAATGGATTCCTCGTACCACACTCCATCCATGCAGGCACGTGGACGGCCAATATTACTTGCAGCCTATAGAGAGTAGAAATATCTAGATTCCTTGGATAGTATCTAGGGCTACTTTCTTGAGACATATATATAAGTGTTTAGTTCCTCTGTACAAGATCATGAAAAACCAGAAAATCGATAGCTGATTTATGAAATGAAACCTTTGCTTTGAAAGATGATTTTCGATTCTCATGCTTTTTCTGTCATGGTATCAGAGCATGGTTAAGGCCATGTCTCTGATATCCCCTCTTTTCTTCCCCATTTCTATTATTTTTCTCTTATTCTTCCTCACCATGGCCAAGTCCCATCAATCCTTCATTTCAGGAACTCCTCAAGCTCTACATCCCCTAGCTTGGTGTTTTCTCAAAGTCAGCTCATTTCAGCTAACTCGATCACAATAATTATGTCATAAGGAGACAACAAATCCTCAATACTATCAAAGGTTATGGCTTAGAATCTTTCATCAACTCACAGAGTGTACCTCCACCAAAGTTCTTGGAAGGAGAAACCATTTGCGGGAAATGCAAGATTCTCTTCTTGCCTTATGGATGTTGTGCTCCCTTTCGGAAAGGATTCTTGTTCTCATGGTTGGCTTAAGTAGCTCGAGGGACATCTGGGATTCCTTGGGAAGAAATTTTACCAGTCAATCTAAGGTAAAGATCATGCAATATAAGATGCAGCTGCAAAATCTTAAAAAGGGAAGTCTTTCTATGACTGAGTATTTGAGGAAGATAAAATCCATATTTGCTATGTTGGCCTCAACAAATGAACAGATCTCTGAAAGCAACAAATTTATGCACATTCTTGGAGGTTTAGGATTAGAGTATGACTCAGTTATTGTCACTGTCACTTCAAGGCCTGAAAGTTTTTCCATGATTGATCTTTAAGCTCTCATGTTGAGTTATGAGTCGAGGCTTGAATCCTATAATCCCAGCAATGTTAGCCTTGATGGATCTCAACCTTCTTTGAATGTGGTATCTCAAGAAACTCAAAATCAGAGAAAAGCCTTCTCCAACAACTTCAATCATGCAGACAACATAAATAGAGGAGGCCACAACAACTTTAGAGGAAGAGGCTCAAGGGGAAGTTTCAGAGGCAGAGGTGGCCGAGGTGGTCAATCAATTAGTTGTCAAATTTGCCAAAAACCTTGTCATGGTGCAAAAAAATGTTGGGAAAGGTTTGACTCCAACTATGCACCACAGAACAACCAAAGCGCTCAAGCAAACAGACCACCAAATCTTAATGTTGCTCAAATGGGAGGATATGCTTCTTCTAAAGTTAGTCAAGAGAACTCTCGCTGGTTTCAAGATTCTGGTGCAAGCAACCACATTACCAATGACTTTGGGAACTTCAACATCTCAAATGACTACTCAGGACCACACAAACAGCTAGGCAATGGAGCAGGTATAGACATTTTGCATAATGGTAACTCCCTTTTAAAATCACCATTGCAGTCAAGAGTTTTTGTCTTAAACAACCTTCTTCATGTCCCAAATATTACCAAAAACCTTTTAAGTGTATCTCAATTTGCGCTGGACAACAAAGTAATCTTTGAGTTTCACTCCGATTCTTGTTTTGTTAAGGATCAAGTATCTCAGGAAGTCCTTCTCAAAAGGAGAGTTGATGATGGTATTTATCAGTTCAATTTCAGGAGTTTGAAGCCATCAACACCCACTTCTCATGATGATTCAGTCTGTGTAAAAGAACTTGTTGCAGTTAGCTTCAGTGTGAATAAGGCTTGTGAGTTAGAGTTATGGCATCAATTATGGCGTGTTAATTAAAATGTGGTTAAGAGAGCCCTTGAACATTGTAATGTTCCTTTTGTTTCTAATGAAAATGATGGTTTATGCAATGCTTGTATGTTGAGTAAGAGTCACAGATTGCCTTATGTGCCTTCTACTTCCATCACTACAAATCCTTTAGAACTTATGCATACTGATCTATGGGGGTCTGCCCCTATAAAATCCAGAAATGGTTTCTCATATTACCTGAGATTAATTGATCATCACAAAAGGTTTACTTGGATATATCTATTAAAATAAAATCTGACACCCATCAAGCCTTTACTCATTTTAAATCCTTGGTTGAGAACCAGCTCCAACTTAAGATCAAGACAGTCCAAAGTGATTGCGCGAGTGAGTGTAGAAGTTTGTTAAAAATTTTTTGAAGATCATTGGATTCATCATAGAGTATCATGTCTTTATACCCCTCAGCAGAATGGTTTAGCTGAGAGGAAACACATGCATATAGTTGAAGTTGGTTTGTCCATGTTGGCTCACACATCAATGCCCCTTAGCTTCTGGGATAATGCCTTTACTACTGCTGTTCATACCATATACCATGTGCTAACAAAGATCCTTAACCATATCACTCCACTTGAGAAGTTGTTCAAGCATAAACCAAATTATAAAAGTTTTAAAGTTTTTGGTTGCCTATGTTATCCTTGTTTAAGACCCTACAATAAGCATAAGTTGGAATACAGATCTGTACCAGGGGTTTTTCTTGGATATAGCAATGCTCACAAGGGGTATAATGTCCTTTTACTAAGAGGGAACGTGGTTATAAGATGTGACATTCAGCTCAATGAGTTTGTTTTTCCTTTTGCTCAAAAGGATAAGAACCAGCCATATTATGGTGTTACTGATTCAACCAACTTATCACCTTCTGTTTCCCCACCTTTGATTCAATAAAACACTACCTTTAAAACTCACGCACCTTCTAACCAAGAACCTAAAACTTTATCTCCTACACATCAAAGTCCTCCTCAAAACACACCAAAATCAACTGATTCCACTCATAGCACTGTACCTTTGGTGGTTGAGTTACATTTTATACAAAATGTTTCTTCTCCTTCTATTACTAATCCCTTTTTGCAGGACACTCTTAGTGAGAACAATCAAGTCCATGCAGATGAAGTTGCCACTCAAACCAAAAATATCCATCCTATGGTGACCGGAAGAAAAGGCTGGGATTTATAAGCCAAAACTTTTCATGGTGACTTCTCAAGATGAAATAGAGCCTGAGAATTCTTATCAGGCAATCAACCTCGAAAGCAAACAATGGCAGAAGAATATGAAGCCTTGTTATCTAACAAGACATGGACTTTAGTTAAACATCCTGAAGGAAAGAATCTTCTGGGTTGTAAATGGGTATATAAATTGAAAAGAAACTCTGATGGATCTATTTCTAGGCATAAGGCCATATTAGTGGCACAAGGTTTCTCTCAGTATGCATGTTTGGACTATAAGGAAACTTTTAATCCTGTTGTCAAAGCCACTACTATCAGGGTTATCTTATCCTTAGAAGTTCACAATTCCTGGAAAATAAGACAGTTGGATGCTAGTAATGCTTTCCTCCATGGAGAGTTGGAAGAGGAAATATATATAAAGCAGCCACTGGGTTTTGAAGTTAAAGGTAATGAGGTATTGGTTTGCAAACTGACAAGGGATCTCTATGGCTTGAAACAGGCATCAAGGGTTTGGTTCAAGAAGATGAAACATGTCCTGGTTAACCTTGGTTTTGTCACCTCTTAGGCTGATAACTCTCTTTTCTACATGAAGAAAAAATCAAAATGTTGTCTACCTTCTTATCTATGTTGATGACATACTGATTACAGGAGATTGTGACACTCTCACTTCATCTGTAATTTCTCAACTTAGGAAATCCTACTCTATAAAAGACTTGGGGGATCTTCATCATTTTCTTGGTATGCAAGTAACTCATACGGATGATGGTTTATTTCTCAGTCAAGAAAGTTATATAAAGCAACTTTTAGAAAAAGCAGGGATGAAAAGCAACAAAGGCTCACCTACTCCTATGATCACAAGAGTAAAATTATCCAAATCTGATGGTGATCCTTTGGAAGATGTCACTTTTTATAGAAGTCTTGTGGGAGGTCTCCATTATGCCACTATAACAAAGCCAGAGCTTTCTTATAGTGTTAATAGAGTCTTTCAATTCATGTCTAATCCCTTGTACACTCATCTTAAGGCAGTGAGAAAAATTCTAAAATACTTTGTTGGAAGTATTAATCATGGGATTTATATAAAAAAAGCAAATGAGCTGTCATTGATGGCCTTTTCAGATGCATATTGGGCAAGTGACATTGATGATAGTGTTGGGATCTATGAGAATCATGTTATGTACAAATCACGAATTCAATAGCAAAACGTAAACATATGCGCTGCGGATCTAAAGGTTTGCGTAGAGAACTTATGGCTTAAAATTTTTGGCAATCTAGCTGATCTTCTGGATAGCCGTACTGTGACGCCCCGTTCGTTAATGAATAATTTGGATTATTGTTATTATTATTATTTTTATCATTAATTGTGGCTACTATTATTATTGGTAATTAATTGTCTAAATGCTTAAATGATTTTATGTGCCTAATTGTATTTATCATATATATTATAATTGTGGTATTAATCACTATTTTAAAATATTTTAATTTATATTATTGTAATATTATTTTTCGTCCGACCGAGCTTGTTCGAACCCGAGACCCCGCGCCGTGAGCCGCCCATCCGCGCCCGTGAGCCGCGCCTAATTCCCCTTTATCCTCCCCTTCCTTTTGTGTTGTGGCTTGTTATGGTAAGTGACTTGGTAGGCAAGTCACAATACCTAGCTATATATATGAGGTGATCCCCTCCCCCTCTCCTCATTTTTTTTTCAGCCGCCACCCATCCTTCTTCCTCCCTCCCCGATCGCTCTCGCCCTCTCCCTCCCTCTCGATAATTTTTATCGCCGTGCCCCATCGCCGTCGCACCCAGGCCACGCGAGCCCTCGCCCGTCCCGCAAGGTCAGGCCCGAACGCGAGCCCCGGCCGTTCGTACGCTCCAGGCTTCAGTCCGCACCCTCCCGTCGCCACTCGGTGCCCAGCAGAAGCTCGAGAGTCGCCCGGCAGCCCGCGCAAGCCGCCAGCGTCCCGCAGGCCCACTTCCCCGCACGCTCGCGATCCCCCACGGCCCTTCAACCTCACTCTCGTGCGATTTATCCCGATAACGGTACAAGGCTGATATTTCTCTTTATTTTAGTAGTTATATGCTTGATAATAAAGCCTTGTGGGGAGATCTTATG